ACTCTGCTGTGATACTCAAGGAACTATGAACAAAACCACTCTTTAAACCCACTTTGTGGGTTTAAAGAGGCTCATCTGTTTCATGGGTTACTGGTGGCCTCAACCACTATTCATCTCACTGCTCTGATGTCAGAAGGAACTGACTGACATGTATTGCTATCAGAGCTGTACTACAGCATGTGACGATTCCCATAAACACAAACTGTTTCTAATACATGCTCACTGCTGAATGCACAGAAAACAACCACATAGTTTTCAACAGTCAACCTGGGTGATGGGTCACTAGTGGATTTCTTTCATCATGAGCCTCTTCTGTAGATTCTTGTAGTCCTCAGAATTTCGAAGGACAAACAGATTGCATCTTGAAAATGAAGCATGTGCCAGTGGCAGAGACTAACAAGAACTCAATAGCAAGGACTCTGAGGAGTAACCTCAAGTGACTAGTAAAGAATGGTCAAGTTACAGGAGATAAAGAGGCAACATGAGTATTGTCATTTTGCGGAGATCACCTTATTTAGACAAAAGGTATTTGATAGATAAAGATACTTATTTAAGCTTAAAAGATCAATGACTTGGTTAACAAAGAGCTTAAAATTGTCTTTGTCACACTTCCTTCCCTAACTGCTTTACAACTTTAACTTGATATTCAGACTCAACTGAGAGGAGCTCTTTGAAGACAAGGACTACATGGTATGCTTTGCTAGCTTGCTTACTTGCTTGTTTATTATTTTCAGTGGTGGGGATCTAACCCAGGGCTTTATGTATTAGAGTGGAATCATAATGTTACATTTTTTTGTGTACTAATTCTGGGGCTTGAACTCAGGTCCTAGGTGCTATCCCTGAGCTTCTTTTGCTCAAGGCTTGAGTCACTGCACCACTTCCAGCTTTTTCTGAATAGTTTACTGGAGATAGGAGTCATTTGGACTTTCCTGCCTTGACTGGCTTCAAACCACAATCCTTAGATCTCAGCCTCCTGAGTAGCTAAGTTTACAGGTATGAGCTATGAGTGCCTAGCTTAAGCTGCATATTTTTAATTCCTACACATAAGGACTTAATAAGTATCTGGTAAATGTGCTATGATACCATGGATGATAATAAAAATAAATGAGCCTGTTATTGTTTGAAGCTAGAAACATATATTTCTCATGGTAAAAACTATATATTTTCTTTTACATATTCATGTTAGATCACTCTATTTCCCTATTCTTGTAGAGTGTCAAGGTTCACCAGTTAACAAATTATCTTCCCTCTTTCAAGTAAAAAAAAAACTATAGTTTTTATTTTCACAGTCTATTATATATAACCATTTAATATAAGTTGCCTAAAATCTCTTTTGGAAGTTGACATAACCATGTAAATTAACATCATTCATTCTACAGAGAAAACGGATTTCTCTATTTTATTTGAACACAGTAGAAGTGAAAGATAAAGAAATTAAAGAGAAATTTAATTCCACTGTGATATGAATTAATAGGATGAACTTATTGGCTCCTTTTTGGTCTTGGATCAAAACAGTTGTACAGTAATCATGTAAGATCAGTCAAGTGGGGCTTGACGTGAACAACATAACTGAAGAATTTGAAGCTTACATAACAACAACAGGGGAAAAAAATACGGCTTATGTACTTCCCTCCCTAAGAAGCAATGTTTTCCAGATGTATTTTATATTTAACACAGTGTTCTTTGCAGTCTTGAGACATAGCAGAATTTGCTTTTTAATCCTAACATTAATACTGAAATCACTAGGCATCTAGAAATTTTCTCCCAGCTCTGAATAGTTTATCTTAATTTACTTTTCCTTTCCATAACTGGTTTGTGCCACTTAGTTTGTGGGCCCTTTTCAGATTTATGAGGGAGAGAAAAAGTAGCAACACACAAATGAGATCTAGAAAAGCACAAGATAGCTATAAAAACAGCTCATCCATCATCTCTACGTTTTGATTTCAGAGACAGCAGTGAAAGGTGTTGTTTCCACACCACTCACCCAGCACACTTAAAAAGGTTTGCTCTATCGTTTATACAACTGAAGCTGATTGATTAGCTGCTAGAGAAAAAAATCAATACAAATATCCTAGAAAACACTGGCTTATAAATTCATTCTGGCCCCAACAAAGTCCTGGTCACTGCTTGACATGTTTTTCTAGATATCTAAAATACAACCATGTCAAAACCAGCCACCTCAGCCCCCAGAACACTGTTAACCATGGGAATTTTTTTTTAATCACCTGAATTATCAGAAGTTACCTGGTAGATCTTATACCTGATGCAGATCCAAAACTGAAAAACATACTGAGAAGGTAAAACCAGTCACTGAAAAACTAGTTACAGAGAACTAGGTTGAGTGGGGCACTGGTGACTCATGCCAGTAATCCCAGCTACTCAGGAAGCTGAGATCTGAGGACCTAGGTTCCAAGCAGGCCCAAGTATGAAAGTCTGTGAGATTCTTATCTCCAACTAAGGACCAAAAAGCCAGAAGTGGAGCAATGGCTCAAGTGATAGAGGCTAGCCTTGAGGACAAAAGCTCAGACACAGCACTCAGGTACTCAGTTCAAGTTCCAGGGAGAAAAAAAGAAAAGAATGAAACAAAACAAAGACAACCAGAGAGAGACACACACACACAGAGAGAGAAAGAGAGAGAGAGAGAGAGAGAACGCTAGGTTGACAGAGAGGATATAAAACAAAACAAAGCTAGGCAAACAACTATATATGCATTTTATACTCAAAGCAACTAAAATTTCTTTAAGATATTGAGAAAGTTTCCTTGTAATATTTCAGAAATAAAAGAAAACTCTACTGTTTGATTATAATCATTTAATATCTTTGCTATGCTTGCTCCACGATTCTCACATGAATCAGACTTTTTCTCCTGGATTCATTCTAAATTCCTATAATTTAAATAACATGTCTTCTTCATACTATTGACACAACCAATTTATTCACCTATGATACTTCAAATTACTTAGACAAATAATACCAAATGCTCCTATTGGGAAATTAAGTCTTGGAGAGATCAGATCTTGTGGCTAATAAATTACAGACCAGTATATCAAATCCTAACTCTGCTGCAACAAAAAGTAACAAATACTTGACAACTTAGTATTTTCCTGCACATAATAGCTTACCCAGTAAATACTGACCTCAATCCTTCATTAACAGAACCACTTATCAATTACAGGCACTCTATAGTCCAAAAACTAGCATCTAGTTTCTAGATAGCAAGACAAAAACAAAAATCCTTACATTACTTCTATGGTGACAAATGAAAACAACTACTGATAATGACAGTGACCTTCTAGAACCTCATCTGTAAATAGCCACTAACTCCTGCTAAGTTCTAGCATGTTCTTTGAATCACTTACTTTAAATAACTATTACTAAAGTCCTACAGATGTAACATGTCAGAGGGTATTTCCAAAGACAAATCAGACTGTTAGGCTGGATATGATTAGGAAATTTCTGTAATCACCTTATAAATGATGTTTGTCTTCTTTCTCAAATCAAAGTTAATACATAATTGTATCTGTAAAGTCATGAAGCAATCATCAAACAAGTTACAGGGGAAGAGAGATACGGGGAAGGAGATAAATACTTGTACTTCCTAAATGGTGATTTTAAAAGTTGTACATTTTTCAAATAAATTTTCAATCAAATAAAACCCAATATTAAAAAAAATGAATGCAGTTCCATTTAGAAATGTATAATGTTGAAAAAGTACTAATTTGTATGCCTTCTAATCAACAGTGTTTAAAGGATAGATCACACATGTTTTAGATGCTTGTTATCTGAAAGGTATATGGAAAAATAAACACTAATTAAAAAGCCAGCAAATTTATCAGGTATATAGATTAGGTTTCTACTGAACTTTTGCCCTTTTGAAAAATCCTTACAGTAATCATGTTGCAGAAAATACAATGAACAGCTTTCCCCTCAGATTGGACAATAACCTGGCTGGCTCTAAAAACAGAACTCTAAGCGTGTCAATATGTTTCCTTTGTTTCTCTTCCAATAGAGTTAAATGTAAATGCAGGAGGGCACTATACTAAGAATATAAGAATATAAGAAAATAAAAATGTTGGGAAGTGTCAAATCAACCAATAGATGTATTTGCCTCTCTATTAAAAGCATTCCAAATTCATGTTGATAAAAGCTTTAGACAGACTAAATAAAGCTCTATGCTTAGAATTTGTGCTTTCTAAATAAGATGCATGATGTGAGCAGCACTCCAACCTAAAAGGCAAAGCACATTATCAATAACTATTAACCCAAAAGATTAGGAGACAATAGATTATCTCATGTTGGGTATAAAAACACAGAACTATTTTATATCTATATTATAAACAAAGACAAAAGAGGAACTTCATGGTTTAAGCAGTTATATGTCAACACAAATGTGACTCATTTTCAGATAAGTCTTATTACAAGCTGAGAGATACCAAGACAATCACATTTCCTAACAAGCAATGATTCACAAGGGGCCGGCCACCCCATACCAAGCATTCTAGTGGGGACTTGCCCTGGGAGAGTCCAGAGAGTCCAGAGAGGACCCAGAAATAGTACTGTAGAGAAGGGAAAAAGGCCTTCTTTACTGGCCATTCTCTTCAAAGGACTCATGGAGTCCTCTTTTAAGCTGTTTCCTGATTGGTCAAAAAAAAATAGCAATGAAAGAGAAAACTAAGTAGTTCTATCTACAAAATTCCTAACTGATTAAAGGTCTTGTGAATTTCATTTCTTTTTAACGTCAGCATCACTATCATCATCATCTTGTTTTTTCAGATAGAAAATAAAGTCTGAAATAAGTACTTAAAGTCATAAAAAAGTGGTAACAAAAAAGAAATTAATACAAATGTAACTGTAGCTTTTAAATATAATGTCTATTAATTAATCCAAAAGAGTTGTAAGCTTCAGGAAGCTAAAGAAGCAGGCAATGTGTAGTGTTACGATTAAAATGATTTATTACGAAGACTAATTTCACTCATGATTTCAGAAACAAGGTCTCTTACCTTGAAAAGATTGTTTGGCTCTATCTACTAGTTCATCAATTGGATAACTGGCCAAATTTCCTCTGGCATGTTTAGTTTTGCAGTAGGTACAAGCATTGAGACACCTGTTTAAATGAGAGGAATAATAAGACTAAGAACTTTAAAGATAATGTGTCCCAAACATGGGGATGGGCAAAATAAACACGGTGGTACTAATTTAGTAACATTTACTTAGTTTATATGAGATACAAAAAAAATTACCTACCTGTTACATGCTTAGTTTCCATGAGGCAGAGAAATTTATAATCTTTTTCAGTTTCAAGTATTCAAGCTTGGTCAGAAAAATCACATATTAGCTCAAGTTACACATATCTATGAGGAACAAATTTTATAAATAGTAGCAATGAGTAATCAAAAAAATTCAAAAACACATTTTTTGTAAGCCACCTGAATTTATTGGGCCATCAAATAAGGAGAGAATTTTAGTATTGCTAACACATACGATTTCATTCATCATAATGAAGAATGTTCATTTAATTTTTAACTCGTATTTGAACAGGCAACACACATTTTCATTGATGCAGATATCCCCCAGAAATGTTCAGATATCTTTCATTCCTTAAAAAATAGTGGAATGCAACCAATGAATATTCTCTGGGATTACATTAGTCAAAGAAAAGAAGTAAACAACAGCATCACCTTTAAAAACTTGACTTACTTCCCGTAGTTTTTAGAGATCATGGAAAAATTCTTTTTAATACTAAAATCATGATTGTTTTATAATTTTAAAATGTAATTTAAACAAATTTCTTATTATCAAAAAAGGAAACCATTAAAAACAATCTTAAGCAAAAGAAAAAGATATGGATCAACAACACTGAGATATAATCAGCATCCAATAGAAGATATAGTGTAATATAGCATATACTCAGCAATATTGCCAGTACTGCCTCCTGTATATGACACTAGTTCTTTAAAGGATGTGTAATTAAATAATGGTATTAATTTGCTATAGAGGAAACAATATAAAGAATGCTTCTTAATTATAAGTATGTACAATTGTGGGCATAAACTCAGATTTTTTATTAGAAGGTTTTAAGTGCTTTGATCATTTCTTATGATTTGAGAGTAATGCATACAGAAATATAAAAATGTATTGAAACTGCAAAAAAAAAGATATGTATCTCTCCTTTACTCTTGGGAATTATAAAGTCAGGCTTCTTGTCTATTCACTGGCTCAAACTTGTTGCCTTCATCCTGTTACTATCATCCAGTTTCTGTTTTTCATCTTCTTGCTGGGTCTTTGGCAAAATGTCTCACCTGGTCTGACCTGTCATGTTCTTCTAAATTCTACAGCTCAGGTTCTCAGAGCTATGTGCAGGAGACACCAGAAGACCAGCATTCTCTTTGTCCTTTTCTTCCAATGTCTCCATGGGCCTGGGATTCCCCCTAAGCCTGACATTCACTCAGTAAAATAAGCACGCTTCCAAGCAATCTGCCATCCCTACAACCTAGTTCTAACTTTCTTTGTGCCTCTTGATCTCTTTCTCTTGTTTGTCCCATTAACAATGAGCCGTGCCATAAATTAAGTGGGCAATCTTAATAGAAGCAACTAATATTTCCTATGTAGACTGCTTCTTAAAAGCAACTGTCTTAAGGGATACTAGTCAGAGAAGGAATAAGGGAATGCAAATGCGAAAAAGGGAAAGGAAACATTTACAATGTAAATGACTGGATACATGTAACGAAGTCAGAGTAGAGTCTGTATCTACTAAGTGTTTGGCCATTATTTGTTTAATGGGTCTGTTTTTAAGCAATTCTTCAAGGAAATAATTGTGCATATCATGTTCAAGGTATACCCCACGTGGTGGAACAGATGTGATGCTAATAGCTTGGCCAAAAAGCTAGCTGTAGAAACCAAGTCACATTTTCCTACTGTCTCATTTAATAATGGTGGAAATAGAATCCCCATGGGAAAAATGTCTACTAAAAATACTATTTTAAAAATATGCTAAAAGCCTGAAATAAAACAAGTTGACTTAAGCTAGGTGCTGGGGTGACTCACACTTGTAACCTTAGCTACTCAGGGGGTTGCAATCTGAGGATCATGGTTGGAAGCCAGCTGGAGCAGGAAAGTCCATGAGACCCTTATATCCAATTAATCACCACAAAACTAAAAGTAGAGCTGTGGCTGAAAGTGGCAGAATCTTAGCCTTGAGCAAAAAACAGTTCAGGGACAGTGCCCATGATCTGATTTCAAGCCCCAGGATCAACCAAAAAAAAAAAAAAAAAAAGGAAAGAAACCTTAAAGTGACTTTATAGGACAATTATATTTAAATAATCAAGAAATACAAATATTATATTAAGAATTAAAAATATTATATATCAAATTATTCCTCAACTACAGCTGTTGATGTCATCTGTATAGAGTATAAGCTCTATTGTATAACATGGCCTAATTCTTTTTTTTTTTTGCGGGGAGTGGGGGGGGGGGGGGGGGGGGGGAGTCTGGTCATGGGGCCTGAACTCTGGGCTTGGGCGCTGTCCCTCAGCTCTTCAACACAAGGATAGCGCTCTACCACTTGAGCCATAGCACCACTTCCGGCTTTCTTTCTTTTTTGCTTATGTGGTGCTAGGGAATCGAACCCAGGGCCTCAGGCATGCAAGGCAAGCAATCTACCACTAAGCCACCTTCCCAGCCCCAAGATGGCCTAATTCTTATCACAATAGAAAATAATGTTGGATATTACCAATTCAATATCTTATATTAAAGTGACTCTGAAATTCACATTATTTTTTAAGCATACCACTAAGAATACTAACTCAAGAGTTAAATCTACTGTATTTTACTTTTAAAGAGGAACAGAATGTTATATAAGAAGACATGCAGGGCCAACTCAGGAAAAAAATGAGCCTTTTGGTGCTTTAGAAAAAATTTTCATACATCATCAAGAACTGAATTGACTGATCATTTCAACATGACAGGCCTTCTTTAAAATAAAGAAGTTCATAAGAGAAATCTTGGATAGAAAGTTTCAATTATCTGTAAACAATTAAGTAATTGTCCAAGAGTAAGAACACTGAGCCAGTTCCTCTAACTGTCAGAATACAAAAGATCTTTGAAAGATGACTGTTAAAAGCCAAAACCAAAATGAGATGGCCGTTGAGCTTCAAGGAAGATGCAAAGCCTGAAGCGACCTGGACTGTGGTGAAGGAAGGACAAAGTTAGCCCACCATACCTACTCAGCTTTGTAATGTAACTCCATGTGAAGACACAGCTAATAGCTTCCAAAGGGAAGAAATCCAGCATTTGATTTAGCTATTTAACTCCCCTGAAGCCTCATAAACTATCTGTGGTTGAATATTTTTAAATTATATAAACTAAGCAAATGAAATAACAATGAATTTTCACAAATTATACTATTCCAAAGAGTTTAAACACATAATATTGACATAACACTTGACCACATAAAGCAAATGAAAACTAAAAATTTTAATATATGTAGAACTTTTTAAAAAATATATTAAGTTTTTAAAAAATTTTACCTACCACAAGTTCTGCAATAATTTAAGAACCAGAGTTACAGTCTTAAAAAATCACCTACATGAAGAGAAAAAAGGTGACTATAACTTAGGCTTCTGTTTCTCTTTGCTTCAGGTCAAGGATAAATTTGAATAATAAATAAAACATTTTGATTCAAGTATTAATACTTCAAGACAACATATTCTATTCCCCTCATATAATTTAATTCTTATTTATTTTTAATCAAGTGACAGAGTATAAAACCTCAATGTTTCCAATGTCATAAAATAACAACCCTTTATGGACAACTAAAACTTAGAAAAACCACAGTGATCTGGCCATGTTCTTCTGTATTGAAGGATCCTCAAGCACAGGAAATCTAAGAAACAAAAAGTTCATACAACCAGGCTGTGCCAGACTTGATTGTTAAAACACAGCCTATTGTGAGTTTTCATCTTGGTCCACCCCCTAACCCCGAAAAGCATTAACTTTTTTTTATTTTTTAAACAAATACAGTAGAAAAACATCAGCAGAATCTGATTAGATCTCAAATGATAATAAAATACCTGCTTGCCAAGATTAAAACCTAGAACAAACAAAGAAAATGGCACAGTAGAAAAACTAGCAGAATGCAGTTCCAAACCCCTCATCTCTTTCATCTCTGTGGCTAGGACCCCGAGGGTTACTGACTCACTCTTCTTTCTCTCTCTACTCCAGGATCTTACCCTAGTATTGGCTTCTGTCTTCAACTGTGCTCTTTCTGAAGTTCCATTCTTTCTGCACTAAAACACTTGTACTAAATTTATAAAACATCTGGAGCTATACTTTCTTTTATTCAGTGTTTATTAGCTGCAAAGTTTGTTTCAAAAAGTTATTTCAATAATGTTCAAGTCCTGATCTGTATTTCTCATTCCCTTTACCTGAAATGTCCTTATCATAACTCTATCGATTCCTGTAAAATTCTTCACAACCTTTAAAATAGCTTTAGGAGGGGAGGTAGCTAATACTGATTAAAAAAAAAGTGAAATACTTGATAGATACTAAGATATGCATTTTATACTAATTGTCTGTATATCATCCTAATAGTCTTTTCTTTTTTTTTGGTCGGTCATGGGGCTTGAAGTCTGGGCCTCGGTGCAGCTCTTCAGCTCAAGGCAAGCATTCTACCGCTTGAGCCACAGTGCCACTTCTGGTTTTCGAGTGGTTTATTAGAGATAAGTGTCTCACAGACTTTCCTGCCCAGGCTGGCTTTGAACTACGATCCTCAGATCTCAGCCTCCTGAGTAGCTAGGATAACAGGCTTGAGCACCCGGCTCATCCTAATACTCTTGATATAAAAATTCATACTTACATGGCTGGCTGAGTGGTTCAAGTAGTAAAAAGGCTACCTAGCCAACATAAGATCCTGAGTTCAACCACCCAGTAATGGCAAAAGGAAAAGACAATTTTGTTTTCCCTAACTTTGATAGAAAAAACAAAGGCTCAGAAAGATTTAGAAACTTGTTCAAAATTATGTAGAGAGTCAAAGTTCAGTCAAGTTGAACATGGTGGCATGGGCCTGATTCTAATCCTTGGGAACTGAGGCCAGAGAATCTCAAGTTC